CGCAACCTATGTCCCAATGATCCTTCTGCTGTTTTGGGATGGGTCCCGGGGCTTGAGACATCTGAGTTTGTCATCAGAGCGTCTCCAGAGGTCAGAGTCTTTGGGATGTGCCCAATGCACTGAAATGCAGAACGGCTCAGTCGCTTCCGAAGCACTAAGCTTCTCAATCCTCGGCCTGAAGTGTTGGAGCCCCTTAGGATCTTCAACTGTCACGTCAACCTGATAGACCTAAGTTGCAGTTACTAGTTGAAAGCCCTTGATTGATGCAGGGCATGGAGAAAGTAGAGGATCCAGTGTGCACTGGAGGACCTGGCGTGAGTGTGGAGATGTTTTGAGAAGGGTTGTGCGGTTTTAGAGTTCTTGGGCGCTCGTCAACTTGCATGCAAGGGTTTCGGTACTTCCAATTTTGCTCCGTGCTGCGAGGAGTGGTGGACCAGCACCCTGAGCTGTTTGCTCCTGTGGATGCAAGCTTGAACGAGGTCTATCTGTGGCATGGAACCCACGTCCGGGCAGCTCTGAACATCGCGCACGAGGGTTTCGACATTCAGATGGCGGGACTGAACGGGACCATGTACGGCAAAGGTATGTACTTCGCAGAGAATAGCTCCTCGGAAAGCCAAGTCTGTGAGTTGCGACTGGTCTGCTGGTCGTGGTGGTATGTAGTTGTGGTTTGAGGCACGAAAGCAGACGAGTATGCGAGGGACGAGCCGCATGGTGACTCAGCCTGTACAAGGGTCCCATATGGGGCTCACTCCGACAGCGCCATAGGAGAGTGCCGTCTCGATCGGCGAACATGTGGTGCTGTCCAGGCTTCTACCAAGACGTGTTCGCTCTCCTCCTCTGCCGTGTATGCCTGGGTAAGTTCCACTTTTCGGAGGACAGGTTCGACTCCGCAGGTCAGGGCCCCACATCCGTGAGAGACTCCCTAGTCTGAGAGGGGGAGGTGCAGCGAAGTTGCAGGCTTTGGGTCGACGGTAGAGTTTGGTTCCTGGCATTTGAATTCAAGCTTTCTTCTTAAGTGCAGCTGAGTTCCGCTCAAAGCAGGCGGCATGGCGGAAGCCGGGACTATTGACAGCACCGTCGGCGACAGGACGGGTTGAAAGAAGACGCTCTGGGCACACGTCTTTGCGGAGCTTCTCCCAAGGACTCGCACCGCGAATACGTTCCGAGAGTTTACTGCCTACGACCCAGACCAGGCTGAGCTGTGTGCCCGGGGGGGCGGGGGTGCGCAGAGCGTGGCTGCCCAGCCTTCGTTTGCTCATGGAGGTCTATCCGGAGTATGTGATCTTCTACTCTCGGCGGCCCAAGGCCAGCAAGGGAGCTTCAAAATAGCTTCTTGACTCCTCGTCTCTTCGTCCCAAACTCGAGTTCCGACACCTGGAGGCCGTGGCACTGGAGGCGTTTCGATTTGGCCTGGCTCCGCTTCACCCACAGCTCCCCAGCTGCACCAAGGAGCTGAAAAGGGGTATGCAGGATTGTGCAGTCGGATGTACGACAGAGAGTTGGTAGGACCAAGACATGTGAGTGCGGTTCGGCTTCCTGAAATTTGACTGGGCTCAGGCTGCCGGTCTATTTCCAGAAGTTCCACCTGAACCCGCAAGTGGAGTCCTTTGAGGCCAGGGTGGGGGAACGGCTCGCTGAGGGACTCGAAACTCGCAGGTGCCTCGTTTTGAGGTGCAGTATGGTGTGCGGAGACCGGAGCGCGACGTGCTGGAGCAGATGGCGCAGGCGTGCTACCCAGGCTGGGAGAGGTTTAGTTTAGACTGGATCGGAACACCCGGCTCTTTTCGGGCTTTCGTGAGCTCTGCGTCTAAGACTTTGCCATCCCTGAGGTGGTCGCCGGATCGAGGCCCGCAACCTGAGATTCGCGTCCGGAAGAGTATGTGGTTGGTGACAGCTCAGTTTTGTGGAGGGTCGGGAAGCAGTGCGGTGAAGATCGCAGATGGACGACTTCTTTGGGTCATTCCGTTTGTTTGTTCGGGGCATGTCGCATACATCTGGAAGTATAGGGTGGTGCAATAAACTCGGCGTTGTCGTCCAGCCACAGGCCTTCTTTTGCAGCAGGTCCTTTCAGCTCGCCGGATCGAGATCTCCAGCCTCTGGAACCGCTACGTCCTTTACAAGAAGAGGCTGCACCTCCAGGGCGAGCACAGATCCTGCAGTCTACCGAGCTAGTCAGAACCCTTTCCAGAAAGCTTTTTGTCGCAAGAGGATTTGGTGCACAACCCTAAACCCAAAACCCCTAAACCCTAAACCCCTAAACCCCTGCGCTTGCTGCGCAGGCTGCGAGGGGAGTTAGAAGCCTCGGGCCTCTCAGCCTTCGCATCGGCGGAGTTCTTGGAGCGCCCGGTGTTGCTTTGTCCCTTTGCTTACCTTTGGTTAGTAGGGAATGGAGGTATACTTATAACTACTATAACTACCATTCTTCCATTCCCCACTAACCAAAGGTATGTTTGTCCCTCTGCGATGGCTCTCCGGCTTTCTCAGGCTTCCCCTTGTTGAGAATCAAGCATTGCAGGTGCCGAACAGCCTTTCTAACCCGAAGTGCCCCCAAACCAACATCGCGAAGTATGCAAGCCTTGGAGGAGGGCCAGGCACGCGGTGCAGCCCCTCGCAGACATTACAGGGTGAGTGCGCTGATGGGCTTCGGGCTGGACAGTAAGTTGGAATTGTGTTGTTGCACAGGGTTGTTGTCTTGTTTCGCGACGCATTGGGTGTGGGGCCAGTGCAGATATGCGTGATTTATTCAGTCGTCATTTTGATGTGATGTACCGCCTGTCCCGTTTGTCTGATATGAACTGGCAGAGAAACAAGCACACCAACGATGCACAAGAGTTGAAGGCCTCACACGTGGCTTTTGGTTAGTTTAGTTAATGAGTGTTCAAGGAGAGCAGCTGTAAACGAAGCTTTGTTTGTTTTGTGATTATGCTTGGGAAGAGAGCAAGCGTGACGGTTCGTAGCATGTAGGGGCACACTATGACTGCTACTTCTGGAGTTCTTAGAGTTGATATGCTTTCTGTGTCTTTTTCTTGCTAGTCCTTTTTCTCTCCCCGGAGACTGAGGAAATTCTCACAGATGCCTTTATGAAGAGGCCGTCGGAAGGCCACCCTTGCCTGGCTGTTGCTACATGTGAGTGAAAAGGGCCCTGTTGTTCAGGTGGTGGCATGCGGCCCTCATGGAGGGGAGAGTCCTTGGAAGGGGAACTGCAGGCCGGGAAGGGCAGGAATTACTGATGATAGTCATAATAATATGCATGGTTCATAATTAATTAATTGGTCCATAATTATAGCACGATTAATGATGGCAATTGCTCATCCTGGCAAGCCAAGGAGCACTTCCTTTGGCACGGCACCACCCGAAAGGCGGCAGAAGCTATTGTCAGAGCTGACTTCCGCGTGCCCAAGGACTGGAAAGGGCCAAGAAAACGGTTGGAGGGATCGGATGCTGAATCCAGGTCGTTAGCCCCTGCTGGCACAGAGTGTCTCAGGAGATAAAGAATGGGGCGCGCTACGGCTGTGGTCTGTATTTCGCTGAGGACGTGGGCAAGAGTTTAGCTTATGACGCTCAGACTGCAGCATAGGAGGCTTGTAAGGCTTTTTCGTGGCATTGTCCATGCTCTGGCAGAAGATGTGCTGGGCCCTACTTCAGGCTCCTGTCAACACATCGTCTGATGGGCGGACGACCTCGCAGTTTCTGACGCTCGGTACGTCTTTCTTGGGCCCTCTAGCAAAGAATCTAGAGAACCTCGACCAGTCACGTCTTCAAGCGAAGGCTCCTCTGCCGGGTGCTGTGTGGCCAGATGTACTATACCAGCGAAAGATATGAGTTGGATGCCGTGATCTCAGCGCACAAGGCGCCCCTGGTGCTCACTTTTTTCATGCCGCGCGCATGTTGTTTGCAGCATTGAGCGCTTCCGCTGTACGAGCAGTTTCAACGCCTCGATCGCAGAATCCCAGCTTCAACAATTTTCACCATTTTGACATGTTCCACAGAGCGATTCTGGAAGGTTGGCAAGAATTCCGTCCTTGCGAACCCTCTGCGCGAAGGGCCGCGTGAGTTCATTGTCTGGCATGAGATGCAGGTCGGCAGCCCAGAAGGCATGACGTGTGCATGGCTCCGCAGGAGGACGCTCCAAAGCTGGGGCTGAGTCTGAGTTGCATCGCATCGCAGGTCTACCCCGAGTATCTCTTGGAGGTCACCGTTCGCGATGAGGACCCATAAACGATGTACCCGGGAGGGGTGCTCCCTCTCAGATCAACTGGGCCCATGTGCGAAGTCTTTCAAGGAAGTTTCCTGCCGTTGGGAGAGCTTTGCTCTTCTCTCGGATATGGCAGGTCGAACAGCATGTGGCCAGTGTCTTCTTTTGTCGTCATAGTCAGAGCTTTATATCGATTCCTCGATCCCTCAAGATGCCTTCGCGGCTTGCGGGTACCTAGCACAGCCCTGTACAGCCGGAGTGTGGGCCCTGGCAAAACGGTGGTCCCATCTTCCTTTCAAGCTTGCTCGGAAGGTGCCATGGGACTGCACTGGACTGGCCGCCAGTGTTGATGGCACCTCTTCCGTTCCTGCCGTCACTTCTCGGGGTCAGTCTCGTGTGGGGCCGACAGCTGAACCCAAAGTGACCCCCGAAGTGTCTGTGCCTCTGTGTCTCCGACCGGAAGAACCCCGAAAAGATCATCAGTTGTTGGCCCTCCCGAGCTCGGTCGGCACTCCTGTGTCGCTGGATTCTTCAGCTTCTTTAGTCTGCGCCGGTGAGCACCGGATCCCGACGCACGGGCGTAAGTCCTTGCCCAAACTCGACAGCCGTAGCTCGTATTCGCTTGCATCTTGCCGACTCGAAGAGTCAGCCAGGTGGACTCCATAGTTTATCAGAGACTCGTTTTCGATCTTACAAGCTCATATTGAGAAGCCACAAAGCGCGACGGCGACGAGAGTGATGCCATCTGCAACTGCCATCATGCTTGGATCGAGGCAGTGTCCTGCAGCTTCTGGGCAGCGTCATGCCTAGGACGGTTAGGAGCAAAGGCCCCCGACTCTCTGCGCTGCTCCCGCTCCTGGCTGTTGCGGGGCTGTCTTGCCTTGGTTCCAGCTGGTCCTTCACGATGCAGACTATCGGCATGCTGACCGGAGTGACTCGTCTCAGCGCATTGGCTTGGCATCTCGCAAGTCTTCTGTCGCTGATTGCTGAGGTCAGCTACGTGTCTGGCATCGACTACTACCGAGGCGGAACCTCACTGGACTCAAGCGACGCTTCACATGTCTCTTGTGTTCCAGGAATCAATGAGCGCATCGCGAAGTTGCTGCCGAATGGCCACATCATGGCCAAGAACTCCGACATGGTCATCGTCTCCGTTGACTGCCGAGCCCTCGGCTGCCGTCTGCCTCGCTTCCATGACTCGACCGCCGTGGAATCTTCAGCTCGTAGCTAGCAGAAAGGTCACCATCAAGATGACAAGACATGACACGTCGTCAGGCAAACTCAAACCCAAGTCCCGGAGCTCAAGCTCCGAGGCGTCTCCACCGCAGGAAAGATCAAGGTCTAAATGGGGCAATCGCGTGCGTGGGGTGCCAGGGTGGGTGGCAGAGACTTCTGTGAACGCTTTCCAGCATGCCCTTCTTGCTGCTAATCTTGTGCCAGTACATTCTGTGAGTCGTGACTGCCTGGACGGGTTGGAGTATCTCGCGTCAAGCGAATCACCTTGCTCTTGTTTCTCGCTTACAGACCAACATTACCTTTTGCATTGGGTGGTTGCACATGCTCGTGCACCGATGTCCGAGTGAGAAAAAAAGAGTTCAATTACATGATGCATGCGCCCAGGTGACGAGTATGTGCGGTTGTTGACAGCGAAGGACTCGGAGGGCGTGCAGGAGCGAGATGGTAGGATCCTGTTCCCAGCATGTCCCACAACCCTGCCCCTCCTCCCAAGGCTCGGCAACCCTGACTTTCCTGAGAGGACTATTTGGCGAACGGCGTGGCCAAGCTGCATCGGGCAGGTGTTGACTTCCTGGTGATCGCTTCGAACACAGCGCACATTTGCGTGGGCCCCTCTGCCTGTTTCGGCCTCTTTCGGTCCCTTCTTTCGCAAACTTCACCCAGGAATTTGGTTTTGGGCATTGTGTCAGCCTCGAGTGGCCAATAGTTGCAGAGTTCTGCCACAACCGCCCCAAGCAGCCTGGTCAAGTGCTCCGTTGTGCAAGGCCGTGTACGTGAACGATTTCCGGATCTCCCCGTGTCTTGGCCGAGAGTTCTCATGAAAGAAGTGGAACACGTCGTGTTCTTTGCTCGCATTGTCTTGAAAATGATTGGTTGATTTAGTGTCGTCTTGTCAACGGCAAGAGGAGTGGCAGCAGCAGCAGCAGAAGAAGCAGCAGAAGCAGCCGCAGCAGCACCAGCAGTCGTGGCAGCAGCAGCAGTAACTGTAGTCGTGGTGGTGGTGGTGGCGGTGGCAGAGCAAATAGCTGCTGTAGGGCGTAGTAGCGGAAGAGTGGAGGAAGCGGAAGTGCTCCTGTACGAGCCGTTGAGATCTGCTGGTCAGTTCTCAGGGAGTGACAAAACTCCAGGTTCTCCACATCGCCGATTGTACGGCAGCAGCAGCTCGCGGTGAGGGGCCCGTAGGCTTGGGTTCACAAACACTTCGGGGGCCTTGGGCCTCTAGGACCCTAGGACTTTTTCTCAAATCTCTTGGGGCTTTTGATCCCTCTGCTCCAGGGCTTCTGGGCACCGAGCCGACGATGCGGGATGGCTCCTGGTTGAAGGCGCCGGGCCCGGAGGGGACTCGAAAGGCCCCAGAAGACCCGCAGCCCGACCCAGGAGCGGCTGGCCCTGCACGGCGTGGAGGTGGTCGTGCCGCCTGCGGAAGAGGATCGGACGCTTGTTTTTAATGCCAGTGCGTTGTTGACGGCTTTTACGATTCTGCCAGGACGTTATGTGTCGGCCCGAAACCGAAGCCAAGGCAGCGATGTTACAAGATCATCTGCGATGAGCTGAGCTTCGACAAATTTACGGATGAATCCCGCAGCCTCTCAGCTGCCCTTCGAGAAGCCCCAAAGCAAGTTCCGGGGTTCGTCGCACTGACATGCACTGACAGAAAGGGCAGCACCCTGAGGATTCTTTGCAGAGATGGCAAGAAAGCTCCATGGCGAATGGGGCGGATCTGGTGGTGTTATTCTCGGATGCACAGAGATCGAGCTTCTACTACGACCTGGGGATGTTCTGAGCTGAGATGTGCAGTAAACCCTTCTACTGTCCAGGCAGCCCTACTTCTGCCAGGTGCCAGATGTTCCTCTCTTCCGATCGGCTGAGCTGCACATCGATGCAGCAGCTCGAGTCCAAGCTGGCGAGGTACCTCTCAGTAAGCTCGCGTAGGCAGTCGAGAGCTACTTCGACCGAAAGAGAGAGAGACGGAAAGAGAAAGATGGAGAGGCATGAAGAGACTGTCAGCCGAGCCAGAAAGTGCAGGTCTCCCTCGAGTCCTTCATGCCCTCAGAGAAGGCTGCTCCGGCCTGATGATGTCAGCCCCTTTGGCCGTGATCTCCAGCCCGGTCAGCGCGGGCCCGACTTTGTGCTCGACTTCGTGGAGTGTGAACGGAGAGATGCCCAGCTGACGTTTTCCGGCGCGCGGCGGAAGTGCTGTCGTCGTTGTCGTCCTGCTGGGGGCAGAGCTAGGCAGAACCTGAAGCCCAGCGGCTCGGATATCCCTGCATACAATCGCCTTCGTCTCCCTGAGCACCGGATGCGAGCAGACCGCGAAGGGGGAAAAGACAGGACTCGAAGCGCCCAATGATGAGACGCTGTGACTGCCTGGGACTAACTTGATCTGATCTCCGCAGCAGGATCTGCGGCTTGAGCGAGCCTGTCCCATCAAACCTCGGCATGACCCTAGCCCTGGCCCCACTATGGGAATAGGCGCATAACCAGTCGCTGGGCTGCCTAGTTCTATGCGCGGTCTTGTGCAAGCAACACCGTGGCTAGGCCCCATACGCAAAGTCTGCCAGCGAGTTGGGTCGCGAGCAGATGAATTCAAGTCGGTGCTGTAAGTCCTTTGTTCAAGCCGCCCTTCTCGTGCCATGGCTTCTGATTTGGATGCCGTCTGCCGCAGCGAGGCAGGTGCACGGATGAGGTTGAAGCCGCGACCAGAAGGCTTGCAGCGGAATCCGCAACGAATCATTTTGCATCTGTACTGCTCGAAGCCCGGAGAATCTAGCAGTAGTGGCAACTAGAGGCTTTCTAAGAAGCTCCAGGCCCCGAAGTCACAACATGCCTCCACTCCAGGCACAGCGAGTCAACACGGCCCTAAGAGCCAACCGCCGCCGGAGCCAGATTCGCGCACGGGGTCCGAGTTCCTGCATGCCACCCCGCTTTCTTTGTTGTCAGTGTCTTCCGTAAGACCGTTCACAGTCCCTCCATCTCGAATCCCCGAGTCAGTCCATACGCTTGTTGTCGTTGTAGACTTTGCATGTGATGTTTCAAGCTGTTGCTAAGGTCTGATTCCAGGAAGTGTTTTTTCTTGCAAGCAAGTTTTGACTTGCAGCTGCAATCCTGAGTACCAACTGACGACGAGGAGGCTACGATATTCAACAGTCTAGTTTTCCATAGGGCAGCGAGCTGTGCCCCGAAGTGCAGCCTTTTAATCTGCATTCTTACTCTGTTATGGAAGGGTGCGTACCCGTTTCGGTATGGTCAATGTAGAGCGGACATAGGCGACTTGAGGGTGATTCCCCTCTTCATTAGGAGCAAGCAAGCACGCAAGCATCAAGCCTCATTGCAGCGCGAGCAGTCCGATCTATTGGTTTTGGCACTCTTCAGCTCGTTCTTGTGAAGTGTGCAAGCTCAGGACAAGATACATACGATAAGCCGATGAAGTAGCAGGTGCAGCATATTCGCGTCATGGTATGACAATGGTTCACCAAGCCCCGCGCTCCCCTTGCTGTGAAAAAGAGTGCTGCATTAGCGACTGCATGTTGTGTAATGTACATATTGATTGGACTTCGTTTCAACTTCTCAGAAATAATACACATGACATATATTTGTATAATGTACATACATATTTGGTTGAGATGTTTCACACATACCATTTGAAATAAGAACAAACCCCGTGCACGAATGAGTTTTTATTTCCTTGCGCAAACACGTCTAGTTCTTCGGAATGAACTAGGGCATGCATGTGAGTTGATGTTTTGTCGAAAGCGGGTAATTGCCTGGTAGCTTCGTAAGTCTTGTCGGCCGCAGTGTCGTAGCCCGCGAGCTCAGATCTGTTCTTCGTGTCGCGATCTCTCTGAACCAATATGTGCATGATGTCCTGGCTGCTGCTGCTGCTTACATTCATGGCCAACAACTGCAAGCACTTAAGGGAACTCTTGGCAGAGTACTTTGAAAGTTTGACACTGCATGACGTTTTGTACATGGCGAAGGGTCTGTGAGGTATATTGTGACGTAGCGCATATATAAGTATGCATATGCACCTATGTACGCTGTTTGTGTGAATATGAAAAGAGGAGAAAGTGTTTCTTCTACACGCCTGAGTTGTACTTAGCAACGTCAGAACTGAGGAATAAGTACATCATTGCAAATGTACCAAACCGCACTATCACAGTGACCAGAGGTCTTTGTTTGTCGCAGGCTTCTCGCAAGTTTCCCACAAGTTTTCACATTTTCGCAAAGGGCTTTCACAGCGTCCGTTGCTGTCACAGCAACCAACCACAGGCTTGTCACGCAGTTCTGCGGCATTCTGCGGTGATCGCTTACAAGTGCGAGAAGGTCGCAAGAGTTGTGGGACGTGGAGTGGCGTTGACAAAGACGGCAAGTGGCGTCGGGGATGACCAAAAAGAGCCACCTTCTGGCTGAGCCCAAGCCGAGCGAAGCCATATGTAGCACCGACGAAAATACATGCCGCCGGGGCGTACCATACTGTAAATTTATCCATCGAGACCGGTACTGAGTCGGTGAATCCTGGCCTTTGCCAGACGAAACGAACCGCGCCCGTCTTCGAGCTGTCAATGCCTGTCAGGATTGGAGTCTTGAACACGGTCAGCAGTAGGTGCCCGGTTTTGGACAACATCACGAAGACCGACATAGCGGACGTAGCGATTGTTGAAGGAAAGTTGATGTCGTGCAATCGTACAACACATGGCATCATAATGTCATGCATTTGTGGGTCCGTAACAAGGCTCGCAATAACCATTAACAGACTTTGATTCGAGCTGACCAGCAGAAGGTGCGAAATTGTGATGTTGCCAACAACTTGCCTGCTTTGCGCGTCAGCAGTGCTTGGTAGCGTTTGTCAGCATTTTCAATCGAAGCAGACAGTCCTTGAAGGGCAACCATTTGGGTGGCCCAGACAGAAGCACAAAAGTTTGACACATAACGGATGCAGCCCTGTTTGAGCAGCAGAATATCGTGCTTGGGTTGAAGCTTAGCTCCTGGAGCCATGCGGAAAACCGGCAAGAAGTCTACAGGCACAGGAAGGCCATCCACCGCGGCAACGGTCTATGGTAGCGAAGTGCCTGAAGCGACGGCGACTGGCACAAGGAAAGTGGCAAAGGCCAAGCGAAGGACCTTGGCCCAAAATTCAGTGCGATCGGATGCTGCAGAGCTCTTGGGAGCCCTTCCCGCAGCCCGAACTGCTGACCCCGACAGCATCAGCGGAACCTGCGTTGACTCTGGGCTTGAACCTGGCTCTGGTCACTGCTTGCACGCTCCCTGCATCCCCCTGCTCTGTGCACATCACAGGCCCATACTCTTGTCGCCCCTTTCAAGGACGATCCGGTTCTTCGCGGCGCCTGTGGCCTTCGCACCGTTGTCGTTGAGGAGGTGTCGGTGCGCAGTCAGTTTGTCAGGAACTGTGACGTCTGCTAGGTCATATAGAATGACTTGGTCCAAAGAGCGTGCGCTTTTTTCATTCGCAAACCTTCAACCCGATTTCAGCTTATCGCATCCATCCACCGGATGGGTGGCACCAAAAACAGTCCGACTCCTTCAGTTTATGCACGACAGCCAAGACAGTCGGTCCCCGGAATTGAACCAGGAAGAAGGCTCCAGGTCGGTCATGAAGCTGAGCTTCATGTGTTACTGTAGCCGGGCCTTGAAGGCAATCCTCCAAGAAGATCAGCAACTGCTTGACGTGCCTCTGAAGTCCAGCATTGAGCTTCTCAGTTTCAATGAAGCATGTGGTGTTTCTTTTGTTGGTGGGTCCTCCGACTGCGTTTGTGCCGGGACTGTGACGTAGGGCTTGTCGGATCGTTGGCGGTGCGGTTTGCGATTGCACGCAATACTCAACATCCCGAATACGTCGCCAGGAAATCCTGACAAACCCTCGTGAGATGCATGGGGTCATTGCAGCATCGTAGAACTATGTCTGTGGTGTCGCATTGTTGTGACCAATGTCATTCCGCGATGACAGACGATATGTATGTATGTATGTATATATATATACACACACACATAGAGTCATATTGTACTGCTGCCAACAAACACCACCGACCGGGAAGTCGAGTAATCACAAAACCTATTGTCATGCCGGACTCTCTCAGGCTTGCCGATTGCAAAGCCTCCAGGAGGACGGTGCCACCCCCAGCGGAATCAGATGCATCGCCAAAGGGTTGGGCCGATTTAGTGGTCGGAGCCAATGAGTGTCATCTTATGTGTAGATGCGCAAGATGTGCGCCGGGAATGGATTTGAATTAAGTTTCAAGACTCATGCCCCGAAATTCTGCGAAGGCTCCAAATCCATGCTGAGCTTACTACAGATCTTGAGAGCTGAAAAGGGATCTGCACGGGACTCAAAGAGGCATCATCGTCCTGGAGCTCGCTTTGCTGCGGTGGAGCCGGACAAACTTACGACTCTGAATCTGTGCCGGAGGACGTGTCTTTTCTTGAACCTTTCCATGGGAATATTTGCGATAAGAGACAAAGATCCATCGTCTGACTTCGCACATCAAAGCTGTATCAACAAAGCCCAATCTGCAATCAGGGATCTAAGTCACGCGAGTTAGCCAACTAACGACGGGTGATGGCTTGTATGCTAGGTTTCACTTCCGTCGGTGCATGAACATCAGGACCTCCGGCATTTGCCCAAGAGGCGATTGGCGGACGTGTCTTGCCTGCGTTGTGGTGCTGCTTGTTGCTTTTGCAAGTCGCCTACACTCCGTTCAGCCTCTGAAGCGCCGCGACCCAGGCCTGGGAAATGTTCAGTGCCATCGACTCGGATGGCGACATGGAGGTAGACAATGCAGAGATCCGGATCTTCCTGTGCTTCCTCGCACTTCATCTGCAGCCTGAGCGATGCATCAGCATGGGAAAGCTACTGGCAGAGATAGGCTTGCCGGGCACTGTGGGCGAGTCAGACTTTCCGGGCATCCTGAAATGCGAGGATCCGGTGGCCGTTGTTACATCTGGTTGGGTTCGATGTTTTGGGCATCACCCTGTCTCGTCCAGCATCGAAGGGCAGCTCAGAAAGAGTCAGACAGGGAAGTCTGCTCCCGAAACAAAGAGGCCTGAGGCACAGGACTTTTGGCAGTTTCTGCGGAAGGAAGAGGCCTGGCACACGCAAGGCATTGATATCGTGGAAGACTTCTGCAAGGAGAGTCGACGTCTGCGCTGGGGCTGCCTCCAGAAGCATGCTTGGCTTCTGGACAGCTTGAGGAGGAAGAACCTCAGGCAAGGCATGGAGCGATCCCTGGGCTTGCGGAAGACGCAGGTGGACCCCTTCTCCGTGGCATTGAACACATTCGGAGCCGTCGCAGGCTTCATCGACTTGTTGACAGACGTGGCTCTGTTGGTGACCGTGTTCAAGAATGCCTCAGCTTGCCAGGGTTCTTCGCTGGCTGACTGCCAAGGCTATGGCTACATGACGCTGGCTGTAACTCTGACGCTTTGCATTTGGGCCCCCTACCTCATTGCGTACAGTCATGTGGTGGTGACCCTTCATGACCGGGGCTTCTTCGGTCAGAACCGCCATCCCCTGCTCGGCACAGTCTTGGTGAGCTGCTTGGGGCCTTTTTATATGCTCTTCTCGGAGCTTCTACTCATGGTGAAGAGCACTTGCTGGGACCCAGCGTCCTGTTTGCTGTCCGATGCCATGTCCTCTAGGGCAGAGCTCTTCTGGCATCAGCTCTTCGAAAACCTCGGTCTCGGGGACGTCCAGGCTTGTGCAAGGCAACGCTCGGTTGCACAGCTGGTTTTCGAAACCATCCCCCAGCTATTCATCCAAGCCATGGTGGTGGAGGGCTTCATTCCAACCGGCGCCCTGCTGGCCACCTGGCAAGGAACCGCTGGAGATGTGTTGAGCTGTGAAGGGTTTGGTGGTGCATGAAAATGCTTGTGTTGAGGTATCCGCGAATCGGGTCACCGTGATTCGGTCCATCACCATGTCCTGCGTGAACTTGATCAGCCAGCTGTTGCGAATGTGGATTGAGTCCGCAGTGGTGGAGGAGTCCTTCACTCGCTACACCATGCTAAGCATGCTGGGCTGCCCGGGATGGGTGCCCTTCCTGGAGCAAATCAAGGGTGCAGCTTTCAAGACGACCACAGTCTCCAATCGTCGACTGATTCCCTTTGCCGAGCTCTCGGGTGCTTTGCCAGGGCACAAGTGGACTGGCCTCCGGCTACCTATCCCTTTTCGCTTCTCCACTCGTTCTGCGCAGCAGATGATCCAAGAACTGGGGCTGATGCCAGAAGGAGACGGTCATCACATGAATTGGGAAAAGCTGACGCAGCGCGGCCAACCTGCTCTCGAGCTGTTCCAGGCAATTCCAAAAACTGAACAGCGGACCTTAGCTCAGGTTCAGGTAGCTGCAAGAACGTCTGGCTGCAGCATCATCGCGTTCAATGAGGACAAAGCAGATTGGAGCCTTCACAAAGATCGAGAGGGGTTTTCCCCAGGCCACAACGGAGTCTTCACCTACTGGGTTGCCAAGGACTGGAGCCAGCTGGGCATGTTTGGTGATGGTGGCTCCAATACCATGCCCTTCAAAATACGTCTGGGAAATTCTTGTGATCGACTCTGCTTGCAAGATATTGTCCAGCTGCTGCTCCTGTCCCGCAGCCGCATATCCGTGGATTTTCAGCACGTGGACTGGCACCGCGCCATTGTTGCATCTGAGGAGGCTGGTCGGCTTGAATGGACAGGGAAGGTTTGGCGTGCTTGCCTGGCCGATGGCGAGCCAGTGTTGAAGCGCTGCCTGCTGCAAGGCTCTGGATGCTCACAGGAGAAAAGGTCGCGTTTTGACTTGATGTACGTTGGAGAGAAGCTCTTGGAGCTTCGGGCTGACCCCAATGCGATTGATGCCGACTACCAGCCGCTCTTGTTGGCGTGCGCCATGCAAGGCCAGGTCTATGCTGCGAAAGTGCTGCTGAGCTATCATGCAGATGTAAACTCACCCATTCCGAATGGTCGCACTGCTCTTTGCGATGCTATTCGCAAGCGACAGTTCGAGCTGGTGAGTGAGCTAATTCGCCTCAAGGCAGACACAAACCTCAAAGCCCACTCCAAACATGATCCTCTGGACGAGATGTTATCTCCCCTAGGACATGCGTGTCGGAGTATGGCTCAGGCATGTGCAGACATGGCCTTGGAACGGCCAGGGTTCTGTTTCGGCATGGTTTCTGCAGCCTGTGGCAGTCTGATCGAGGTGAGACAGTCCCACGCGGAGCTGCCAGAGACAGAGACAGCAGAAGCCATCTCCTGTGTCTCGGCCGCTTTGTCTGCTCACCTCAGCCAGCATCGCGACGAGCACGAATATGCTAACAACTTGAAGGCAGAGCTCCAACAGGCTCTGGAGGCCCTCGTCAAGATCCGCCCGCTTGATTTGTTGCAGTGGCAGAGGGAGGATGGTGATACAGTGCTGCACTTGGTGTCCAGAGCTGCACCCTGTCAACGACACACTGTGTCATGGCTGAAGGCATGGCTGCAACCGTTTCCTGATGAGCAGCTGAGTGAATATACGCAGACCCTAAACAGAGCTGCAAGCACAGCTTTGGAAGAGGCACTCCGAGCTTGCAATCGATGCGATGATTTCGGAAATCGAGATGAGACGCTCTTAGCTTGGCTCCTCGTGCAGTTGGAGCGGAACGATGCTGGCCGGCTGCAAAAGATGGAGGAAGCCATCAAGCAGACCTTGATCAGCTTATCTCTCCACCCCCACGGCGGAAAGGCTGCCTCCGACGTCGAGGTTTTCGTCCGCCAGTTCAAGAGCCAACTGGCGAAGAGTATTTGTGTAGCATCGCTCAACAAGGCTTTCGCCTCCATGGCAGCGCAGAAGAAGACGGAAAGCTGCCTGAGCCTTGCGGCCAGAACCAAGGAGCTACTCTCCCCAGAGCACCGCTCCCACGCGAATCAGCTGGAAGAGGCAACTGGCGGGAGAGCAGAGTGAAGGGTTCAGCTTTGAACGGCGGAATTCATTGACAGGCGAAGAAGCACAAGCACAACCAGACTCCAGCAGCCGCTAAGAAGCTGAAAGGCCGAGATGTTGCTTGGGCATTTTTGGGGCGGGCTTGGGGCCAAGCCCCCGTAGAGCATTCAACTCGAAAAGATTTGGCGCAACCGTACCCATGCGAGTATTGGTGTGCATGCGCAGTCGTTTTTGTGTATAGCCCACAGTGCACACACACTGATGGATTCGGCCAAGAGTACGAGTGCAAGAGGAAAAAGAGAGGCATGTTGTTCATGTTGCAAAAGTTTGTCAGATTGTGGCAACCGTACAACTTGTTTGTTGTCAAATCAACCACCAAAAGTGGCAACTGAAAACTCTCTAATCTTGGCACAGGGGCCTTCTAATCTTGCTGGCTCAGGGGCCTCAGCTGTGTTTTGCAGGTACACAACAGAGCGTCCTCTGTCGCATCAGCATCTCTTAGCAGCCTCTTCGTTGGGCAGGCACTGCTAAAGATGTCCTGCCCCCCTGCAACAGTTGATTTGGTAAATGTCCAATGCCGGATTATGTTGAAAAGCGAAATTGCAAACAGTGTAGGAGTGACCCTCTGCTCCCATGTGCTAGGGAGGTTCACACACACACAGCCCCAATGGGGCGTACATGCTTCAAGTAGAATGAAAGGTCTGATGCGCGGCAATAGGAGTGAATGGCGCACTTTTCTCGCTGTCAAGAGCGATCGAGTGATTGTCGTATTTCCTGATCCGAACAGGTTCTAACAAAAAGCACCGGCATCAACGTGGCTAATGTGGTGACTGAATCCCAATCATGTAGTCGTCGACGGCTTTGTTCGAAGAAGAAAGCTGGGATTTTAGGAGTTCTGCCGGTGATCTCCTTGATGCGGTAGGAGAAGATCTTGCGAGCTTGGAGAACGTTGTCCCCCAGACAAAGCACCACGTGTAAAAACATGTGCTTGTCTCTGGTGATGCGGTCAGGTGGAATTTCAACAGTCATCCGAAAACATTGTCCTGCCATGGAGTACCATGGAAGGCCGGCTTCGGCAGCCTTTCGCTTTGTCATGTTTTTGCTGCTACCAACCGACAAAAGCTTGAACAAGGAATGCAAATCACCATGGACATGATGTGTGCTCTGGCAAAACAACAAAGTGGTGTCGTCCTGACACTCGCATGCGCAGGCTTTTTGTCACGCCTAGCGGATCTTGCAGCCCTAATCCGTCCTGAGAATTAGGGTCCAACAGCGAGCTTGTTGGGACAGTCACTCATGATCTTAAAATGGCATCGACACCTAAAACCTGCACGTACCAGCATTTTTGCACAAGCGGTTTTTGACCGCTTGTGCTGAATAGTAGGATGCACAATATCGTAAGGTGCAATCGAGTCAGAAGACCAAGGATCTCGAGATGGAGACCGGTGTGCGTCCTCAGTCATGTGTGACTTTGCCGTAGGTGACGCTGATGATGTTGAATGTGAAGAGCGTGTCCTCTTTCGTCTTGTAGTATGTGGATGTTGGCGTCGTTGCTGTGTTGTGGATTGGGATGGTGGTGAGATGTTGCGTGTTTTCTTTGTTTTCAGGACTGTTTTGTCCTTTTTGTCATTGTTGTCTTTCTTCTTTTTTGTCCTCGTTGTGTGCTTTGTTTTTTGCTTGTGTGTGTGACTGACTGCATGGGAAGATGTGGTGGTGTCATCCTTCCTCAGGAAGGCATCAATCTCTTCAGATCCCCATAGGCTGCTGTCGTCGTCCTCGTCCATCTGTGTGCGATCCTAAATATGTTTCAACAACTGTAGTTCTGAGAAATGGCTGCGGAGTCACAACTGCATTGAGGCATGTGCATACGCTGATCTTCAGAAGAGAGAGAGAGAGGTACACAGAGACATCAATTGAGCAACCTCGCCGACCGGCATGACCTTTCAACATGATGCTCTTAATGTTGAACCTCATCAGGAATGATGGAGTTCGCAGCACAGCTTTGCTGTGTGGTTGTTGGCTGCCGGGGGCAGCAAATGTGCATCTAATTGTCAACTCAGCAATGTTGCTCACGGAGTTCTTGACCGCTTTCTCTTGTTGGATGTAGGAGTTGATGTAGTAGATACTGTCTCCTTTTGGGTAGGAGTCGTTGATGTCGGACGCTGATCAGGTTGCTCCGAATGCTTTCGTATCCACTCTTGAGATGCGATAAAGTACTCACGCCACCATGAAGAGCCGTTAGTGGCCCAATGCCATCTCCATTGTGATGCCGTGGGAGATCGCGATCTGGTGCGTTGTTCCATGGTGCTAACACAACTGGTTGTTTTGCAAAATGCTGCGGGAAAGAGTGCATCAATCGCTGCATACCAAACATATATGAAGTGAGTGCACTGACTGTCACAACTGGCAACAACGACAATCGTTGTTTTAACCGTCTGCTGCAAAGCACCCAATGGTGGTATGGACATGGTTGATCACCTATTGTTGCGAAGCTTCGAGTCTTTCCACTCGTTGCTTTAGCTCTGTGATCTGCCGGGTTGTTTGCAGAATAAACTCGGCTGATTGGTCGCGTAGAGCCTCGTCACTGAATGTGGAAGGTTCACTTCCAGTTTCGGAATCATAGTCCCGGTGCTGTGTCAAAATCTCCATGAGGGCCTCGGAGAGAGCTTCACGTCGTGACTCATCGACGGGTGGCGAATCTGTAGTCACTGTGTTTGTCGGAAAAGATGCTTCGCTCATGGCTCGATGTCGGGGTTCCGATAGGTGTCACTCTGAGGCAAAAACTTCAGAAGGCAAAGTTATGGTGTGTGTCTGAATGCAACATGTGTTGAAATGCGAGAAGTGTGCACTACCTGGCTCTTTTTATACCAGCATACCTTAGCAGCATATTCACGACCAATCAGGCGCGTTTTGCCTGATGAGGCTTTCGAGTACGTCGAGCTGCTGTTTGCACGAGGCGAGGATCGCCGTGGTAGCCTCGTGTTGAGTGGTCAACACCGTTGTAGCCTGTTGTATCAGGCGCTCGAGTTTGGCATTCGATTCAAGCAACGAATTGTGAAACTGCGTTATTGCTGCCATAATCTCAGTCGATGAATCCGGATCAGGGTGATGCGGAGGTGGAAATGGCGGGGTCGCCGGTGCAGCCACTGCTGCGTCCTGCTGTTCTTCCGGATCTTGGTGTTGCTCTTGGTAATCTTGGAAATCTTCGTCTTCTGCAACACGTAGGAACTGAGAGCGCAAAAGCGCCGGCTGTTGATTGTGGCTGCCAACCGCAGGTTGCTCGTTGCGGCGTCTGCTATGCTTGGAGATGGATGGCCGAGGACGGCCGCTCAGCGCTTTGTGGCTCGGCTGCAATCTGCCAGTCATGGCACTTTTATACATGATGATGCCTCAGTTAAACCCTGTAAATGGCTGCGGGAAGCACTGTGTTGATACAAGGCGGCTCTCATGTTGCAAAGTTGCATGGCTCTGGACACACGCACGGCAACTTGGCACAGTGTTTTGCTTACAGCTGTTGATCAGTATAGCCGGCAGCGATGTAGAGATCGCGCATGGCTCGGATGGCTGATGTGGCCTCGCTGCATGGTGTTGTCACTCTGCGTACCATGCGTGTGCGGGCCTGAAAACTGCTGCGAAGTGTTGCTAACAGAGGTGGCTGACTGTGGGTGTAAAATATCCGCCTTGTGCAAAGTGCATTGATGCGTAAGGCTGCTGTGCTGAGGGTTTATGGCGAAACCCAGGAAAATGTTGGCCGGTTCAGTTTCAAGCTGAACCGGTGGTTTGTAAAAAGATGCGTCAGTGAGCTGTGCAAAAGGAGGCAGTCGGGTCAGCTGTGCAGGTAAAAGAAGGACGCGGTTGTCGACGTATCTGGTAGCAAAAAAGAAAGCTTGATCCTGCTTGTTGTGGTCTGGAAAATGCTTGTGGTTCTGAAAAGTTGTTTGTATGTGTGGTGCCAACACTGTTCTTCGACAGCAACCACGATGTTGCATAGGGCTGGGCTGCAGGGCGAGCCCATAGGTGCACCGCGAAATTGCTCAATGAGTGATGTACCAACAGTGAAATAGTTGAGTCGGAGCACTGCAATGATGAGTTGTGGTATGTGTTGTAATTGTATGCAAAGTTTGTTGCCGGAGGAGGCTTCTTGCTGCTTTTGTCTGCTTTTGCCCCTGTGGACTCGATGTGTGGGGTCTTTCTGTGAGTGGTCAATGAAGAATTTGGAAGAGTGTAGTGGGTTCTTCTCTCTGTACCATCGAACCATGATGCTGTAGGCTGAAAGAAACCGGCTCTGATCGACCGATGTAAAGAAGCCAGCCAAATCCTGATTGTACAGGATGTAATCTGTTGAATCTTGTAATTTCCTGCGTTGATGTAAGAAGAGTGCTGTTTGTTTGAGCTGTGTTATCCCGTCTCCTTGGTGAAAGGAGTTTGGACATGCTTGAAGTGTCATCAGCTGCAGTACGTCTGCTAAGGCTTCCCATAATTTTCGGCCCATGGTGTCGATGAACGCCACTATAGGACGGCCTTTCGCGAATTGCTTCTTTCTTTTCGGTAAAATGTAGGCACGTGGGATGCGGCCCCATTGTGGAAAAGCCCATGTGTAAGTTGGTAGAAGACTGCGGATGTCTGTGTAGACATCGAAGTGGTGTTGTAGAGGTTGGCACTGCGAGATCCGAAAGATCTCTTTGTCTAAAAAAGTGTTGTGTATGGCAGTGTGGTATAGTGCTGGGCAGTACCACGTGAGTCGGTTCGGGAAGTGATCTTCGCAATGGATGATGCCCGTGGGTATTTTGTGTTGGACTTGCTTGAGCATCTTGACCTGTAGTATGTTGTTTTTACTGCAGTGTGTGTTGTGTTGTGGTATTTGTTCAGATACAAACTGCTTTGCAGTTTGATGGTTGTAAGGTAGTCCATAGTGTCGATGCCATGTGCGTATGGCTCGGCATAATTGTGAGGCCAACTGTGTGGGCTTTTGAAGGCAATTGCTTTTGCCGGAGTATGCCAAAAACTGATGTTGTGGTTGTAGTTCTGCAAGTTGGATAGCAATGTGATTGTGGAAAATGTGCTCCTGGGGTACTTGTGAGTGTAATGGTGAGCATGTACAGGGTGGT